AAAAAGAAAAAGTGTTCCAAAACTGCTTTGTAAGGGTGGATTAGGTGCTGGTATCAGTGCATAACTTCCTTAGGGGAGTACTTGGGATGTCCAGCAATGAGGTATGTTATAATTTTTCTAGGATGAATTTGTGAACTTAATTGTCAGAACACCTAAAAACATTCTTTTTTCTGAACTTTCTCGGAATTTCACCATAGAAATACAAATTATACAGGTATTTTTCAAATTCTAGTTAGCTTCAGAAAACTACAACTCTGTTCTTCAGGTGGGAAAGAGAGAGTAATCTAGACACAGTAAATTAGGAATAGCCATTGTTTGAGTGGTGATGTTGGACAAATGACTTTTGTTAGTCTCTTGATTCTCATGTCTAAAATGTAAAATGTAATCATACTTATCTCAGAGTTATGAGAATAAGTTAATATATGTAAAGAGCTTAAAATAACAGCTGGAACACAGTAAGCTTTATGTGTGTTACTTGTTGTTTTTATTTTTGGTTATATACAGTAGTCATGTGAGTTGTACGATTAAGGTAACGTCCAACCTGAGTATTAAAACACTGGAGGAAATCATGCTTCTTAAAGCCCTTACAGGGTTTTAGGTGGCTCCATTCAATGTCACCCTATATCTACAAAAATGACTGGGCAGAGGGAAGCATATGGTAACTCATCTTTAAATACCTTCTTGAGCAGGTCTTAAGCATAACACAATAAGGAAAACTGTAGCAACTTAATTCCATCCTGTTACTTAAAATATAAGAACAGCAGCACTTTAGCTGCCAGGAACCATTCTGAGATAAATTACATCTTGTAATACATGTATCACATAAGGCATTGCCATTACAACTTGTCCTGGGACAATCATGAAATTGATCTTCCTTCTACATAAAAAACTGCATTTATAAACAGAATTGACCTTTTTTTTTTTTTTAGACAGTCTTACTCTGTCACCCTGGGGAGAGTGCCATGATGTCACCGCTCACAACAATCTCAACCTCTTGGGCTCAAGCGATCCTTTTACCTCAGCCTCCTGAGTAGCTGGGACTACAGGCACCTGCCACAACGCCTGGCTAGTTATTCTGTTTTTAGTAGAGATGGGATCTCACTCTTGCTCAGGCTGGTCTCGAACTCCTGGGCTCAAGCAACCCACCTGCCTCAGCTTTGCAAAGTGCTAGGATTACAGGTGTGAACCACCATGCCCAGCTAGAGTTGATTTTTAAAAAAGTGATGAGTTTAAGAAAATTTCTCACCAAAAATTAAAACATGTTTACATTTTAGAGTAGGATAGAGAACTCTCTTTTTTCAATCAAAGACACTGTCAGGCGAGGGTTAGGCACAAATTAAGCAACTAAAGGCTGAGTATTAAATTAGTAAAATTAGCTAAAATGCCATCATAATACAAACAAATATCCCAGTACCCACTGTTGGCAGTAGACTGAAATGTGTAATAAACATAGAATGATTTTTATAAAGGGAATTTGCTAGTTCTTTTTTTTTTTTTTTTTTTTTT